CCTGGACTGACATCTTTAATCATCCAACTGAGAATTGTGCCAAATCTTGGATCAAAAGCAACATAGATATTTTAATTCTGTCTCAGATATACCAGGTGAAACCTCAATCATGGTTCACAGTAACCACTATTTTCAGCTATGACAACTCCTATCACAACAGACACCTATTTGTTGCTGCACCTGATAAATATAAAGGAGCCCTTGAAGGAGCTAATTCCCTGTCTGCAGAAAGAATGAGGCACTGCATTGCATCTAACAAAGTTTTTTTTTTTTTTTTTTACGCCTTTTCTCTAGATATCAAGAATATAATTACAAAGACGGCTTGTCTTAATTTTGACAAAATACAATTTTTATTTTATACATATATTTGTGACATCCCTTGGACTGACATCTTTAAACTCCCAAAAGAAAATTGCACCACTGAAGTTGCTTCTTGGGTCAAATTTGGCATGTACATTATCTCTTCTCAGAAATGCCAGGTGAGACCTCAATCCTCTTCATGGTACACGCCATCATGCTTGGCCACTATGGCACACAGGAACCACTATTTGTGGCTATACTGGCATGACAGCTCTTGTCACAACAGGCACCAATTTGTTACTGCTCATACTAAATGTGAGTCCTTGAAGGAGCAAGGTCCCTGTTTGCTGAGAGAATGAGACACTGCATAACAATCATGATTACTCATGATTACTGGCTGCTCTGTAATAGGGTATTAAATAAGTGTAAGGTCTCTATTTTTCCCCTATTCAATCAATTTCAGGTGTTATCAACCTCTGTTGATAAAGCTGAATGTTTTGCCTGTAAATTCCTTAAACTCTACTCTTGACTCATTTGGAATTCCCCTGTCTAACTTTCCACTTAGAACTGAGTCTCTGTTGAGTGATATGCATATAACACTTTGGTTTCTGCTATCATCTCTAACCTAGATCCCCACAAAACATGTGGACACGATGGTATCTCTATAATAATTATTAAGAATTATGCTCCAGAACTGGCTCCTGTTCCCTTTAAATTGTATAATAAATGTCTCAGTGCCTCCTGCTTTCTTGCCTGCTGGAAGTCATCGTCTGTTTCAATGTTGAATTGGTTAAGGTCGCAAGTACATTTTACAGATAAGCAATGGTTTTCATTTCTCTTGGTCAACTGCAGATGATAATTGCAGAAAGAGTCTATTATTCTCTAGATAAAAAAAAATAAACCGGTAAAGCTGGGGATGTAGCTTTGGACATCTTGAAAACTTTTGGCAGGGTTTGTCATACAGGTCCCCTTCATAATTTTGAATTGATCCAGTCTTTCCTATCAAATCATGAAATGATAGTTATCTGGAATGGCCACTCATCTAGATCCTTTTATACTAATGCAGGTGTCCACCAGGGCTTCATCCTTGGTTCTTCTCTATTTTTAATACTCTTCCTGATGACACCATCTGTCAACTTAGTATTTATGCTGATGACACAACAATTTACTCCTGTCTTGGTAGTAAGGCTTATCAGTCTGACAAAGTTAAAATAGCTATAGTTAATGGCTTGTTAATTTTAATACCTCCAATAAAATTTCATCCATTAATCATCTGAAAGACACCTCACTGCCTTCCATCAGCATAGCTGATGCTATCCTTCTGGAAAGTGACTCGTGAAGTAAAAAGACTATATTGAATCTATTGCTAGGTCAGCTGCTAAGAAAGTTGGTTCACTATGTCAGGCAAGAAAATTTTTCTCTCCAAAATCTATCTTACATATCTATAAGTCTACCATTCATCCATGCTTAGAATATTGCTGCCACATAAGATCCAATATTCCTGCTATTGAGCTCATTGATAGGATCCAAAGAAAAATCAGCAGTATTATTAGTCCTGGTGGCTCAGTTCCAGTCACTTACTCACCACCATAAGGTTGCTTCTCTGTGGCTTTTCTATAAATACTTTCATGGTATTTCTTGGCAGGGTTTGGCAAATAGGTTTTTTCCACAAGCTGAAAAATTAAACTGTCTCCAGACATATTTTTGAACTGATCCAGTCTTTCCTGTCAAAGTGCGAAATGAGAGTTATCCTGAATGGCCACTCATCTAGATCCTTTCGTACTAACGTAGGTGTCCTCCAGGGCCACATCCTTGATCCTACTCTGTTTTTAATTTTCATTTATGACCTTCATAATATCAGCTCTCAACTTGGTATCTACGCTCCTGTCTCAACTGATCAATTTGATAAAGACAAAATATCAGATGATGCCCAAACCAACTTTCAAATCCATTGTTAACTGAAGCAAAAGATCACTTATTTTAATAAACCTCCAAAACTAAACTTCTCACCATTAATCATCTGAGAGACACCTTCTCTGCCTTCCATAAACATGGCTGATGTTATCCTCCAGAAAATTGACTAGTTGTGCCTTCTTGGTCTATTGTTCTCAGGTGACAGGAAATGCAAAGACTATATTGAATCCATTGTTTGGTCAGCTATTAAGAAAGTTGGTTTGATGTATCATGTGAGACAATTTTTCTCTCCAGAATCTATCATACACAATTATAAGTCTACCATGCTTAGAATATTGCTGCCATATATGATCCAGTACTCCTGATATTTAGCTTGAGTCCCTTGATAAAATCCAAAGAAGTATCAGCAATATTATTGGTTCTGATCTGGCAGCTCAGCTTCAGTCCTATCCCCATAAAGGTGCCTCTCTGTGTCTTTTTTTATAAATGCTTTCATGGTAATTGTTTGGATGAACTCTTTGCTGTGGTACTTAGACTTTTAAAATTTTAGTGCAATATTAGACATGTGTTGAGATCTCATCAATTTACAGATCAGTTGCCCAACTGTAACTGTAAATTATATGCTAACAGTTTCTTTTCTCTCACTTCTCACTTGTGGAACTCCCTTCAGGCTCTGTGCATTCCAGCCAACTTTAATCTCTAAAAATTTAAATGCAATGTCAATCGTTATCTATTGTCCTCCTGATTACTCTTTTCTCTTTCTGCTCATTATTAATGTTTCTGTTTCTAATTCTTCAACACCCAATAACCACTTTGTGTTTTAGTGGCTTTACTGCCTTGCTTGAAGTGAAAAATATTTGAAATTACTTTCTTTTGGTATCTACAATTTATTGTTTTTATCTATTTGCTGACAATCATCGATCATCTTACTTAATTAGTCCTTTTTTTTTTTCTTCTTTACTACCTTCTATAAGAGTTCCTGTAGTTTGCTTTCTGTGTCTGCTAACAGTGCTATTATAAAAATCCAATGAATCTTGACCTGAAAACTTTTACAAAGAACATTATTCAAATTAGTATATTTATATGACATTGATAATTAACATAAAATGGAATATTGCTGTCATATATGGTCTGGTGTCCTCACTGTACATCTTGAGGTCCTGGACAAAATCCAGCGATGAATATGCAATGTGATAGGACCTGATCTGGCATCCTGTCTACAGTTGCTTTCTCACAGATGTCTTGTGGCTTCCCTCTGTCTCTTCTACAAGTATTTTTATGGCAACTGTTCTGACAAAATACTTTCACTGGTTTCCAAACTGCATGAATTTAAGTGAGCTACTAGGCTGGCATCTCAGTCCCACTCTTTCATTGTTGAAACAGTTAAATGTAACCATCTATTTTACTCAGACAGCTTCTTCTCTTGCACTTCCTGTCTATGGAACTCCTTTCCTCTTGCTTGTTTCCCTGATAACTATAATAAATATTCAAGTGTAATGTCAATCAGCATCTTCTGATAATTTGATCTTGATCCCCATCGTTCTCTGTATCCTTTCCACAAACACGCCTCTTTACTTTTGTTTTCAATCCTCTGTAACCCTTAGTGTGCTAGTGGCACTCCTGCCTTGCTTAAAAAAAAAGAAAAAGAAAAAATAAACAAACAGGTTCTCCTGTTTATTTTTTCTTTTTCTTTTTTTCTGGCAAACATTCATGAAATTTCTATGTTTATATAATTCTATAGAAGGCACAGTGGAGTAATGGATAGTGGCTAGGATTAAGGAATCCAATCAAATCCATTACATTCATTTACATGATAATACCCTTAGGAAAGGTATGAATCCTCTTCTTCTTCCCCCCACCTATGGGTAAATAGTAGGACAGACCATGTTCTGTAGCCTTGGATAGCAACTAGTCTACTGCAGAAAGAAATGGCAACCTACTACGGGAAAAAATCTACCTCATCAGTCATGTATCAAAAGATACATGATTGCCTAAGCATGTATCATGCATGGCACATAAATGATTGATATAATTTTAAAATGATACAATATAACAACAACATATTCATTATATCCCCTTAATTCTAATCTGAATTTTATTGCTGCTATTTGACATTATCCATTCCAAATTCCATTTAGAAGTCAAAATAGAAAAAAACAAACAGATATGTTTGAAAATATATCTCTTTGCAGAAAGAAAATGCAAAGATGCTATTTGTGATGATAACAATAAAAATAAGTTTTGAGATTTTTTTGTGATGTGTACTGTTGGGTGAATAATGTGATTTGGGGAAGTCTCCTTAAATGTGATGGCAAATAGCAGAAATAATAAAACAAAAGAGAAGGCTTTTGGAATGTCCAAACAAACATGATTTAGGAAGCTGCCATAATAACACTTCCTTTAGTGAATGAGTCAGCACTTACAAAAGAGAAGGGTACAGAAAAGATTGGTGTCTCCATCAGTTAGTGTTTACAAGTTTACAATTTTGAAATAGAATGAGAATGAAACGAATGTATAAGTGTAGAAAGTTTTATTGTATGTTTGTTTGTTCAATTCATTGTGATTCACTATTTGCTATGGTTTATATCTATTAAACATCTTTCTGTATTTTGCTTTATTCATAAAAGTTTTCCCTGGGAAAGGATTTCATTAAATCAAAATATTGTTTAATTAATATAAGTGTTCATATAGAGATTTTTATGAATATTGTATTTTATTTGTTTACTTTGTGGGGGCTTCACCAGGTTTAAATTGAATAAATGTCTCAAATAAAAAACAGCCATTACCGGATGAAAAGAAGAAATGAACAAAAAATAAGGAAGACCAAAGTAAATGAATAAAGAAATGGGAGGAAGTGAAGACAAAAGCAGAGCAAAAATGGACAATAATAACAAAGAAAAAGAAATGAATAAAGAAATGGGAGGAAGTGAAGAAAGAAGAACAAAAACAACCAAGAATAAAAAAAGAAATAAATAAAGAAATGGGAGGAAATGAAAATGAAAGCAGTGCAAAAATAGACAATATTAACCAAGAAAAAGAAATGAATAAAGAAATGGAAGGAAGTGAAGAAAGAAGAACAAAAATGAACAAGAATAAAAAAGAAATGATTAAAAAATAGAAGGAAGTGAAGAAAGAAGAACAAAAATGAACAAGAATAAAAAAGAAATGAATAAAAAATAGAAGGAAGTGAAGAAAGAAGAACAAAAATGAACAAGAATAAAAAAGAAATGACTAAAGAAATGGAAGGAAGTGAAGAAAGAAGAACAAAAATGAACAAGAATAAAAAAGAAATGACTAAAGAAATGGAAAGAAGTGAAGAAAGAAGAACAAAAATGAACAAGAATAAAAAAGAAATGATTAAAAAATAGAAGGAAGTGAAGAAAGAAGAACAAAAATGAACAAGAATAAAAAAGAAATGAATAAAAAAGAAGGAAGGAAGAAAAGAAGAAACAAAATGAACACGAATAAAAAAGAAATGAATAAAGAAATGGAAGGAAGTGAAGAAAGAAGAACAAAAATGAACAAGAATAAAAAAAGAAATGAATAAAAAAATAGAAGGAAGTGAAAGAAAGAAGAACAAAAATGAACAAGAATAAAAAAGAAATGACTAAAGAAATGGAAGGAAGTGAAGAAAGAAGAACAAAAATGAACAAGAATAAAAAAGAAATGATTAAATATATGGAAGGAAGTGAAGAAAGAAGAACAAATATGTACAAGAACAAAAAAGAAATGAATAAAAAATAGAAGGAAGTGAAGAAAGAAGAACAAAAATGAACAAGAATAAAAAAGAAATGACTAAAGAAATGGAAGGAAGTGAAGAAAAAAGAACAAAAATGAACAAGAATAAAAAAGAAATGAATAAAAAATAGAAGGAAGCGAAGAAAGAAGAACAAAAATGAACACGAATAAAAAAGGAATGAATAAAGAAATGGAAGGAAGTGAAGAAAGAAGAACAAAAATGAACAAGAATAAAAAAGGAAATGAATAAAAAATAGAAGGAAGTGAAGAAAGAAGAACAAAAATGAACAAGAATAAAAAAGAAATGAATAAAGAAATGGAAGGAAGTGAAGAAAGAAGAACAAAAATGAACAAGAATAAAAAAGAAATGACTAAAGAAATGGAAGGAAGTGAAGAAAGAAGAACAAAAATGAACAAGAATAAAAAAAGAAACGAATAAAAAATGGAAGGAAATGAAGAAAGAAGAACAAAAATGAACAAGAATAAAAAAGAAATGACTAAAGAAATGGAAGGAAGTGAAGAAAGAAGAACAAAAATGAACAAGAATAAAAAAGAAATGACTAAAGAAATGGAAGGAAGTGAAGAAAGAAGAACAAAAATGAACAAGAATAAAAAAGAAATGACTAAAGAAATGGAAGGAAGTGAAGAAAGAAGAACAAAAATGAACAAGAATAAAAAAGAAATGACTAAAGAAATGGAAGGAAGTGAAGAAAGAAGAACAAAAATGAACAAGAATAAAAAAGAAATGAATAAAGAAATGGAAGGAAGTGAAGTAAGAAGAACAAAAATGAACAAGAATAAAAAAAGAAATGAATAAAGAAATGGAAGAAGTGCAGAAAGAAGAACAAAAATGAACAAGAATAAAAAAGAAATGATTAAAGAAATGGAAGGAAGTGAAGAAAGAAGAACAAAAATGAACAAGAATAAAAAAAGAAATGAATAAAGAAATGGAAGGAAGTGAAGAAAGAAGAACAAAAATGAACAAGAATAAAAAAGAAATGAATAAAAAATAGAAGGAAGTGAAGAAAGAAGAACAAAAATGTACAAGAATAAAAAAGAAATGATTAAAGAAATGGAAGGAAGTGAAGAAAGAAGTACAAATATGTACAAGAATAAAAAAAGAAATGAATAAAGAAATGGAAGGAAGTGAAGAAAGTAGTACAAAAATGAACAAGAATAAAAAAAAGTTAATGAACCATTGATAAAAAAGAAGGAACATAGATAGGGGGGGGGAACAAGAAAATTAAAAAAAAAATGTCCTAGAATGAGGAAACCAAATAAGTACTAAAAAATAAATAAAAATAAGGATGAAAATAATAACCTCACCCCTGCCGAAGAAATAGAGAAAAAGAAGAAAGTATAATATCAATAATATTAATAAAGTAAAAGTAAAAGATAATTTAAAATTCAAAAAAGTGAATAAAATAAAGATGTACAATGAAGTGATAGCATACAAATATATTTGTAGGACAGACAAGCAGAAGAACAAATCTGTACAAAAAGTGTTTCTATGAAGAAAAAATTCTGTATCATTCATTTTTATTTGGGCAATGATAAGATAAAGCTCAATTTCCATTTAGACATCATTTTTTTATATGATCATTCTTAATTTCTTATTATTTCTGTAAAAAAGTATTAACAAGATGAAGCCAAATGTATCTGCAATAAGTAAAATTTGATTACTCAAGAAAAATTTTGATGTAATTTCTTTCAGTTTTTAATGATTAAGAGGAATCACTGAACAAATTTCCTACCCTGAGAAATCTGAGAAAAAAATCAAGTACATCTTGAGAACATCAATACTAAAACATTAAGGAAAGTACAAGAGAAGGATGTAACTTGTTATTTAATTTCCAAAGAAAGTCATCAGTTCTTGTTGATGCAAAAGTTTAATGAATACAACTCTTCTTCTTCTTCTTCTTCTTATTATTATTATTATTATTATTATTATTATCATCATCAGCATCATTTTTATTTTCTTTGATTTATGGCATTTACACATTTCTTTCCGGGTCCCGCCCAGGGACCGAAGGTTAGAAACGGCATCATGAAACTTTCCACTGACAAAAAAAAAACAAAAAAAATTACATAGATAAAGCCCTTCGTAAAGTGTGGGCTGTACTTGTCAGAACAATTTTTTGTATCTCTTTGAAGCATGGACTTCAAGGAATCCTTTCAATTAGTCTACTGCAATCTTTTCCAACCAGTCCTAGAGCTCCAACTACAACAGGGATTATTAATGTTCCCATATGCCATATTTTTGAGATTTCTATTTCAAGGTCCTTGTATTTTGACAGCTTTTTGAATATCTTCAAAGATACATTGCAGTCAGCAGGGACTGCCATATCAATAAGGAGGCACTTTTTTTTTTGTTTGTGGTCTTTAATAACAATGTCTGGGTGGTTGGTTTTGATGTTCTGTCAGTGTGTATTGTGTAATCCCATAGAATTGTAACAGGTCCTATCTCCGTAACCGGGTCTGGGTGGTGTTCATACCAGTTTCTTTCAGTTTCCTTCCCGTAGAAGTTACAAATTTTCCAGTGCAAATATTATCCCACTCTGTCATGCCGGGTTTTATATTCAGTGGGTGCCAATATCGTGCAACCCGATACAAGATGATCAATTATTATTATTATTATTATTATTATTATTATTATTATTGTTGTTGTTGTTGTTGTTTTTAGTAGTAGAGGCAGGAAATGTTTGTTAGAAAAAAGGAAAAGAGAGCTGAACTACTGAGTAAATCAGTACTCAAATATATGAGTGTGAATGGTGGCCAATATCCTTAGAGATGAAAAAGAGACTTGAGTTAACAGAGTTATGGTGCCAATGAAGAATGCTGAAAAGGATGCAACAAGTGACCAATGAAGAAGTTTGGAGGAAAATGGGAACAAAAAGGGCACTTGTGCTTAGGATCAGAAAGAAAAGACTGAAATTTCTAGGAAATGTAATGAGGAAAGAATGTGACACTCACAAGGAGATATTAAAGCCGAGAAAGACCGAGAGAAACAGAGAGTAACTTTGTTACTGAGTTTGCATGAATGAATTTCCAAATGAAGAAGAGATAGTGTTGAAGAAAGAAATTGAAAAGAAGGAAGTATAACAAAAAGTGAAAAGAAAGAAAGAAAAAGAAAGATAGAATGAAAAAAGGGAAACAAACAAAGAAGAAAGCTGAAATAGAAAAAAAGAAAGAAAATTTAAAAAGAAAAACTGAAATGGGACGAAAGAAAGAAACAAAGAAAGAAAAGGAAAAAGAAGAAGAAAGAAAGAAGAAAGAAAAAAGAAGGAAAAGATTGCAATAAATAAAAAGGTAAGAGACAAAAATTGGTATATGACAAAAGAAAGAAAGAGACTGAAGAAAGAAAGTAAGAAAGAAAGAAAAAAGAAAATACAAAGAGAAGCAAAAAAGAGACAAAAGAAAGAAAGAAAAACCAAAAAAGTGACAGAAGAAAGCAGCAGACAGAAGAAAGAAAGAAAGAAAGAAAGAAAGAAAGAAAGAGGCTGTAATGAGACAGAAGAAAGGAAAATAACTGAGGGAAAATTTCCTACCAGGTAAACCTGATAAAAGGAAAATTAACTCAAGCAATATCTTAGTGCAGAGATGAGAGAAAGATTTTAGAGATTTTTATGAGAGACAGAAAGAGAGAGAGAGAGTGAGAGTAGATTATTTCTTTGAGTAACTGGCTGTCATAATGTTAGCAGAAAAAGTTAATATTTGTCGCGAAAAGAGAATAAGTTTTAAATTTTACCTCTTCAAAAGAACGCACGCTATATTATGAAGTCCTCTTCTAAAGCTGAAGCTTTTTGTTTATTTCATGTAACAGTAAAAAACACACTATTTTATAAAAACTCTGACTTCAAAGACATATATTTCTGTTTATGTTGCATCATCTTAACACTCACTGTATAAGAGATTTGTCCAGAATGTATCCATCCATTTTGATTATCTCAATAACCAGTTGCACAGCTTTGATGTAACTTATCAACCAATAAGAGGAGAGTTTATTTCACATACATGAACAGAGACACTCCTATGGGGTATCTCAGTTAATAGTAAGACACCATTCATAATGACTGAGCAAGTAGTTTCTTTGCAACTCGTGTAGGAAGTTTTGATAAAATACTGCCATCACCCATATCTGTCAGTCCCAGATTTGGTTTATTCAGCCTCAAAAGTCTAAAATTACTGTTGAAAGATCATGGTGGAGAGTAAGGAGAATGAAACAAGGCAGCTGAGTGTGAGCTTATACAAGAACTTTCCACCAGTTCAGACCTTTACAAATAAGACCTGCCATGCTGCATACACATCATCCTCATTCACTTCTTATTCCACTGGTAAGGAGGAAGTTCCATTTGGAGACTATTTTCCCAAGATTTGCTGCTTTATGGAACAGAAAGAGTGGATGCTTTCCTGATCTCTATGATCTTAACCTCTTCAGATCTAGGGTCAACTGTTATCTTTTCTACATATTCACATAATCTGCACTCTTTACTCCTGGCTCTTATATTCATGCAACAACCTTATTCAATGACCCTCTATCTTGGGTGGCTCTTGAGATTTCTATTTACAAAAAAACTGAGGACTGCTACTTTGTGGAACTGTCTCCCAGGAGGATACCTCCCCAACTGCAACAATCTTAACCACTTCAAGTCTAAGATCAACCCTTATCTATCCTACATATCTTTATAATCTGCACTTCTTTATCTTAAATCCATACAACAACCCGCTACTTTGAGTGGCTCTTGAGCCTCGTATTCGGTGAACAAAAATAAAAAAGTGGAAGGCAGACAAAGATATTCATGGAAAGTCCCAACTAGAAGATGCAATTGCTGAAGGTAAATTTCTTTTAAGTTTTTTTTTGTTAATGTAACATTGTGTGTGCAAAATAAAGAAGAATAAGTTATAGTTAAGGAAAAAGAAAAAATAGTTAAGGAAACTACAAGAATTCTTACAGAAAGGAATGCACGAAGAAAGGATGAAACATCAATTGCAAGGAAACGGAATTCATGGATGTTAGCAAAAGAAAGAGGCCAATATGCAAATTACAAATTCAAAAAAATCACACAAATACATCAATTTAAATATCTGGGAAATTATTTAACAGAAGACAGAAATTACAACACTGAAATCTGAATGTACATTGGGACAGCAAAGATGCCTTCCAAATGCTAATCAAAGTATTAAGAAATGGAAAAATTATGTTAGAAACAAAGAAAATAATTACAAACTGTTATGTAATATCAGTAAATGCTGGATAATCTCCTCACAGAGGAAAAAGAGACTTCAAGAAACAGTAATGTGATTCTACAGTAGGATGCTGAGAATACCATAGACTGAAATTGTATGCAACAACAAAGTTTTCGAGAAAATAGAAACAAAAAGGACACATACTTAACATCAAGAAGATAGTTCGACACATAATGAGAAAAGATGGTTACCCTGAAAATTCTAGAATTATCCCATTTTTGTGAGGTGGTAAACTCAGAAAATCAGCAGGGGATGAAATACTTATTTTCCCCACTGTACAAACAACAATATTCAAAGCAAAAGGCTGTGGATACACTAAAATCTGGAAGAAAGGTAATGTTGTGCATATGGTAGGATAATCAGGGTATTATTTATTTAGCATTCTTAAAATGCAGTAAAATACTAAATGCACATTTATACATCCAGCAGCTGCAACATGTCCGTGGAAGTTTGATCAAGAAGTGCCCTGTGCTTGTAAATAAAAAAAACATTGTTCTCATCCATGACAATTCAAGGTTGCACACAGCAAGAATAAAACAAAGAATTTTTTGGAATTTTGTTCTGTTCTATACAACTCACCATATTCATGTGACCATACACCAAACATTGTTTTTTTTATCATTTCACCCAGGCAAAGTAAAAAAAGCCACTAAGACACAAAGGGTTAGTGAGAATGAAAGAATATTAGAAAAATAATTATTAAGGAGAGAGGACAATAAAAGACCAGTAATATTACCTTTTTTAAACACTGAAAACTTCCTCTAATGAAAGCCAGATTCAAGAGTTCATTGAAAACATTATCATATCAAAACCTCTAGAATATTATTCAAAATGTATCAAATAGCTGCCTGATAAGTGGCAACAAGTCATTGCAAATAATGTTGAATATATAATTGAATAAAATATAATTGTACTTTATTTTTTCAAGAATATATTTGATAAAAGAAAATGGAAATTATTTATGATTCAGTCTAATAAGTAAAACCTAAATGATATATACATATATATACAGTTGAATCAGTAAACACATTTCCACTCCAACAAATAATTGTTTAGAACGACTTATAAAAAACTTAAACTTTTTAAATTTTGAGAAACTTTTTTTAACCATATTCTACAGACAGTATCTTTATTTTCAAACATAAGAAAACCTATGAAATCAAAACAGCCATCATATATGAGCAGGTATCTGAGTTTCGGGCAAACGTTTTACAACCCATCCCCAATGTAGTCTGTGCATTTATCTTAAGAATACAAAGGTTATATTTGGGGATATGTTTCCTCCAATAAAGTTAGAATGGAAAGAAAAATAAAAAATTAAATGAGGACCAAACTCTCCTTTTCATAAAAAAACTTTCTCTATTCATTCAGGTTTTCTTCATGAAATTCTTAAAAATTCAATTGAATACTCTTCCATTCAGAGATTTGAAAAGCCATATTGGCAGGACATTGCACACTCTACCAGATGCTAAGAAAGAAATTGTTGTTTTCTCATGTTAAAAACTGCAGCTGGGGCTGGGGAGTTATGTACTTTTTCTCAATTTTTACCAGGAATTTTAAGAATTTTAAATAGGGCAATAATAATAACAATAATAGAAAATGTGAATATGTGTTCCTTGTTTATGAATTTCAAAGACCTCAACATATCAGCTGCTCCAACTTTACCTTGAAAGGTATAGAAAAAGTCTGTAAGTATTTTTAAATATATTTCTATGCACCTACATGTATACATACCACTATATATATATATATATATATATATATATATACACACATATATAGATATGTGTGTGTAAAGTGTGAATTTTTTATGCCATATATATATAGCTCTCTCCAAACTACTTTTCATTTTATTATCTATAAACTGCCATGGTTTCTTGGGAAAGGTAGTGAAGCGATATCCTATTACCATCACCATAGTTTTGGATTTAAAGCAGTTCTTCTCTTAGAGTGGCTATGACCCAAGTTTAAAGAGACCAGCTTATTTTGATATTTAACCCATAGCAGGAGGAAGAAGAGATACTCCTATCTTTCACATGGGCATTCATGTAAAAGTGAACACAACAGAGTAGGCAGTGATTTCATTTTCCACTTTCTTTGGATAGTTTTCATTAATTTCTATACACTGATACATATATTTATGCCTATATATATATATATATATATATATATATATATATATATATATATAATCCACAGACAGACAGTTTCACTGTGTATATATATATATATATATATATATATATATATATATAATAAATGCAAATGTCAGTGTGTCACTGTGTCACACTTTTTCAACTTTACACCTTGCAGTCATAGCCTGATATATCATACCATTTTGGAATGAGACTGACTCCGTGAGGAAATTAAAATCATTCCAGGCCGGATCCAGTCTTGCAATCATGAAATTTTGAATTCCCAAGTTTTCATTATTACAACTGTTTTCAGATTCTGCTGCCTTGGCTTCTACTGATAAACACAATTAAAGGGACACAACTCTCTAACTTTCAATGGCACATGTTTAAATGAAAAACATTACTGTTCTCAAATTACAGTGTTTCAAAATAAAATTATACATATTTTCAACTTTGCAACTAGAGAACGTAGCCCAAAATATCATATCATTTTGGAATCAGTCCAACTCAGTGAGTAAATTAAAAACATCTCAGGCCAGATCCAGACTTGCAATCCTGAAGTTTTTTTTTCCCAAGTTTTCATTACTGCAATTGTTTTTGAAAATTTTTTAAAATGATTTTTTGCAACAATATTTTTTGTACGATAACAATTTTTTTATAAATTTGGGAATAATCAAAATTAATTTTGAAATTCAGCAAAAGTCACCCATGAAATAAAAATAATTGTTTGTATAGAAAGTAAGTACCTACATACATCAAATTGTCTTTAAATTAAGTGGTGATAGGGAAATTATCATTGAACTTTCAAAAGGTAAGCTTAAACATTAATGCAATACTTAAATACCGTGATCTACCAGTATTGATGAAGAACTAATCAAGAGTCCTCAACAGGAGCTATCTTAAGTGCCACCCAATAGGGCTAGCTTTGAAGCTATATATATATATATATATATATATATATATATATATATATTACCTTTACTTATATATATATATATATATATATGTTTTACCTTTTACTTTTTAATTATACATAAATATATATATATATATATATATATATAGATACGTTGTATATTTGTTTAGATAAGTGTGTGTATGTATATGTATGGATGTGTGTAAGGCTTTATGTATATGTATTTGTGTGCACATATGTGTATAT